CTTCAAAAAGGTACATGACACATCGAGTGCCACACTATTGCTGTTACAGTGTTGCTACTATACCCTACTTCCATTGCTAAGACGTTTTCTCCTATTCCAACAGGAAATTTAACATGTATTTTGTCATCACACATACAAAGTTGTAACAGTAACTAAGAATACCAAGATGACAGCCACTAATAGTGCTGGCAATTTAAGTTCATTTTTTACTGACCCGTCCAAATAGCCCATCAAATATGTGTTCAAAAAGTGAATGAAAAATTACCTATGTAGACATCTTTTTCCATAATTTCCATTAATTCTTGCCATTTTAAAAAAATTTCAAAATCCCTTATTTCCTCCTAAAACTAATCAGGCGGATACATAACTCATAACTCCAAAAATCAAAATTTATCACTTCCTCATTTCATTCCATAAATCACTCTCCATTTTCTTGTCAGTTAATTTCTCAATTACTTTTGAAATTCAAAATCAAGTCTTTATCTAGTCAAAACTAATTCAACATGAAATAGGTAACTTGTTTATCTGTTCAAATTTGTTTGTCCTTCATTTTTTATTTTTTTTCTTTCTTCTTCGAAACATTGAAAATGCACCATCTTTTAGTCTTGCTTTTACACAATTAAACTCAAATAACACTCGTGTTTTTTTAATTCGAAGATATTGTTTGGGTTGTAAACAAATCAAAAAACTGCACGACTCATCAATAGCGAAAGTAAACATTGAGAAGTTGGAGATAGAGCATATAATATCAAATTTGCCATGAGACGAAAAACACTTTTATTATGTGTGAACAACAAAGGGGGGCGATAGGAGATGGACATATCAAAAGGTTCATTCATAGTCGAAGATTGATAACTTTTCTATTCAAGAAATTCTCAAAAATGGTGAGGTGTGAGTTTGTCGAAACTACAGAAAGTTCATCAATACTAAATAAAACTTGTATATCATATGGTGTTTTTTTAGAAAAAAAAACTATCAATTTTTATACTTGTTTTGTTGGTAAATCATGAATGACCCACAAACGACAAATTCATGTTTCATATTGTGATGTATCAGTATTTAAGTGCAATCTATTAGTATGTTGATTTTGTTCTATTGATTGTTGAATGTGTTTCAGTTAGCTAATCAAATAATGATCCATTAATGAAAATATAATGTGTCATATTATAATGTATCAATATTTAAGTATAATTAGTTGATACACTAAATCCTAATTTTGTTTATTATTTTGTGGAGTTGTAATTTTCTGAAATTGTTGATATAAAATAATGTTTAATAGTGTATCATTCAAAACATGTATTTTTCAGTATGTATCAGATACAAAAATTTATGAATAATGTATCTGATACAAACATAAGATAAATGATAAGTTACTAATTTAACTGTACTTCTTTGTTTATATCATGTTTAATGGGATGAACAATTTTTGAGTCATGATCAACTGGAGGACATCTTTGTATCATGTGTGGAGTTGTTGTAGTTATGGTAAATTATTGATACAAAAATTCAACATTCGAGTTGATTATCTTTGCACAAGATATGAAACAATATTATAGAGATACATACTGAAAAGGCAAAGTCAGACTATGTTAGCGATATAGATGATACTCTAAGGCTTAAAGGACGCTTCATTCTACGGCATCAAGATGATTTAATTCTTGTCGAATAGCTATTATGTACCAATGAATAGACACCCTTCGATGTTTTGTGTCTTTTTTAAAGACAATTTTACTTAGGGTTTAGAGTGTTACTCTAAAAACTGTTTCATGTCATTTTTTGAACTTGAATTAGAATTTTTTTGTTATTGATTATATTATATAAATTTTTTATATTTTGTGTTTTAATGATAATGTTAATACATAACATATGACATGATACTTAAATCTTTCAGATTATTCATTTGAAGTTCAGAACAATAAGTATCAGATTCATAACTAAGTTTAATCATTTGTATATAAAGAAAAATGGTGCTTGTTTGATACATTACGTGCATATGGTGTTTCCCACCTGTTGAACAAGCACTAAGCACGAAAAAAATAAAAATTATCAACTAAACTTGATAATACATTAGGAGAAGAAATATCCTACTATCGTATAAAATTCCTCCAACGTGGAACAATAACTTTGAAAATTCAAATTCAAAGTGTTAATAAGTTGATAAAAAAGACATCATTGTTATCTTTTTGTGATTATTTTAGGAAACCTTTGACACAACTAATTATTCATAATAAACTTAGTCTATCATAAAACATACAAAGATAGTCTCTTATTCTCAACAACAATTGCAAAGGAGCTCAATATTCTTGAGTTTCTCAAATTGAATATTGGTCAATTCCATTTGTTAATTATGTTTTTGGAGATTTAATTTGTTGGTGTTCTCGAGAGATTAAACATCAATATTGAAGCTAAATTTGCAAACATTTGGTCATTTTATGGTTGACTATTCTTGGGAATGCCTATAAAATAAGAGTTGTTAATAAATGATCAAAATTTTAATTTTCAAAAGGTCAATTCCTTGTTACGCTAAAGTTTTTAAACTCTTCAACCAAATATCAAATTGAAGAATCATACTTTAGGATTAAAAAAATTATATCTAAATCGCAAAATTTGAACTAAAAGAATCGAATCTATTCAATTCAGTTGGACTTTTCAATATTTATATTCACCTCTAACACGAATCTAATTTAGAGACAAACATAAAAGATAATGCCTCCATCTCTATTTACTTGTTAAATATTTGTCATCTTTGACAAATCAAGGAATGACAATTTTTTTTCAATTATACCCTCAATTTATCAATATTGAGTTAATGTATTTGATAAATATAATAAGTAAATATATTTGGTCCCTATCAATTAATAAGAATAAAATAATAAACTCATCGTATAAGCTTAAAAAAATACTCCATATAAGTAGGCGGAGTAGCGATGATATTTGCCAATAAAATACTTAAGTCTACCTATAAACTTTTATTATTAGGAATCGACTCCCTCCGTACCTTGTTTTTCTCATAAATCCTAAGGGGGTGTTTGGTAGGCCGTCCATGTAGTATGTATGATATTATTTAGTACTATGTTTGGTGAGAATTTCAGCCTATGTATAATTAATTCATGGATTAGTTATACATCGTACATGGTATTATATGATGTAGGCTTAAGTCATTTTAAAGTTATCCGCATAACTCACTTAGACACCTCAACTAAGACCTTTACCTATTAACTTTAATATTTACAAATATTTGTTTATTGTACATCAAATCACAATTAGCTTTAAAAATATTGTGCGCGTAATTTAAACACATTATATTGACAAAATCACGAATAAAATTTTTACGACATGTGGCACATGGGCCCAAAATTTTAATTTTGAAAACAAAAATATTTTTTACCCTTTGATAAGCTAGAAAATTAAATTGATAAAAATAATAAAAAAGAAAATTTCTCTCCCCCACCCCACCTCATCAAACCTATTACCCTTTCTTCTTCATCTTCTTTCCTGTGATTTCCGTCACCACTATTCAACTATCGATTCCTCTGGCAATAACAAAAAAAGAAAGTATTTACCTTACCCCATTTAGAATACACCCACTTAAACCTTTCTTCTTTCCTTTTCTTCTCCTGTTAATTCTTATATTCCATTCCTAAGGTGATTATTGAGATTTTTGTTATAAAATAATTTACGTCGATAAATTATTTCAATATCGACAATGAAGAGAAATCAGAAGTATATCAAAAAAATTTATATTATTTTCAATAAGTTTAAGGAATGGTGATGATTGCTCCATCGAAGTTATGAAAATAGAGATACATAAATGTCGATGACTCCAGTGGTCGATTTTTTCTCTCTTCTTGCAAGTTCGATTGTTTGTCTATGACAAAAAAACGTAAAGAAAGAAAAAGGAACAACCAAAACAAAAGGCGGAGAAATTTTAAGTCTTTAAAATTGGGGGTTGAAGAAGAAAAGGACTGGTACATGGGTGTGAAGTGGGGTTATTTTATCAAAAGATTAATGTAATTAAATTAATTTTTTCATTTATTTAGTTAATGCATGCCAAGTGTCAAGAAAATAAGTACAAATTTATTTTCAAAAAATAAAGAATAATGCATTCACGCGCAGCTAATGAAATACACTTAGTTCGACACCTCAACATTTTGTGTTTTATAGATACATGTCTTGAACAATTTTAGGTGTGTTCAATAGATACAAGTCATGATTCAGGTATCTAAGTAAATTATGCGGATAATTTTAACGGGTCGTGAATAACTTAAACCTATGATGTATTACTAATACCTTCCATTTGGAGGTATTAGTAATACATAGGATATATAATACCATGAGATAAGTTTATATAAAAATAAAAATATCCCTCAAAATCATTTTAATTTTTTTTTCTTTTTCTTGAATTTTTGTTTTAATTTGTACTAGTAAATTTATTTAAATAAATTAACTTACAAATTATTTAGTAAGAGTTGGTTCTTACGAAATATATCTAATACAAATTGATACAAATTTAAAATGTGAGTTATTTAACACTGACTAATTAAAAGACAAATATATCACTAACTATTTGTATTTTGAACAATTTAAAAAATTACATACATATTAAAACTATTACTTGCAATTTTTATGTGTAAATGTAGATGATTTATTCAATTTTACCATTGTTTACCGTCTTTTTAATTTTAAAAATAGTTAGTTTATCTTTTTTTTTAAATTGAAAATTGACAATTTGTGAGTGGTCAATTTTATCAGGATGAAAATTATATATTCTCAAATAATTCAAATAGAAAATTAGAAAAATGACAACAAAATTATTTTTCTCATAGTCACATAGGAGGCCATAAAAAACCATTTTCCGAGGATTACTAACCTTAACCCAATTACATAACAATTTAAAGATGTAATTAAATTATTTTTAAAAAAGTTTTAATTCAAACACAAATTAAATTTAAAATAATGAACCAAAACCTTGATAAAATAAACCCTTCGTTACTAATGTTTACCTTATTAATTCCTGCTTAACAAACAAGCCTAACAGTCTGGCATAGAGAAAAAACCTAATGTTCAATCCCAAATAGATTTCGGAACCCTACCGGATTAGCACGCATTAAATTTATTCCGATTTGATTCAATTTCTAGAGCGAGGAGCACTTTGGGTTTTCTGTAGGGCTAAATGGGGAAGAGGAAGAAGAGATCATCCGATAAAGTATGGTGCTACTACCGTGACAGGGAGTTCGACGATGAGAAGATTTTGGTTCACCATCAAAAGGCTGAACACTTCAAATGCTGTGTTTGCCATAAGAAGCATTCTACTGCTGGCGGCATAGCCATTCACGTTCTCCAGGTTCACAAAGAAACCGTCAGCCAGTAAGTAAGTTCTTTTTGCTGAGAATTCTCTAGATATATTCTTAAATTTGCCCTTTTTAGCCATGTGCGTTGATATATTTCTTGTACTTTAGCATTGAGAGTGGTTTTCGTATGTTTTGTTGGTGCTGTTGTGGACATGTTTCCATCTTCCACAGAAGGGAACAAAATGTTGAAGCCATGAAATTGGGGGACACGGAGCTCATTGGGTGTGCGTGTCATAGTGAGTGGATGTACTACTTTGAGCAGATACCTTGAAGGCTGTTTAAGAACATAGTTTAGTTGATGAGAATATTTTGGGACACAAAAGAATTAAAAGTAGCTCGAGAATTCGGTCATACTAGAGAATGATATGGTTATTTTCAAGTAGTCATAATGTTACTGATGCAGAAAATTAAAATTTGTTATGTAACCTCTAAGTAATTCATGCCTACTAACTTTAAAGCTAGAAAAAAATGTGTTATTTTAGGTTCTCTTGTTATGAATACCTTGATACATCTTTATAAAAAATGTTGTCCCTTGATCAATATTTTGTGCATTGGGTGTTCCCTCTCATTAAGAAAATTATTTCACAAAAAAAAGGATCATCTAAAATAGTTCAGGTTTTTGATTTATAATGTAGGGCAACATCTTCCCAAAACTATATAGATATAATATGCCTATGCTTGAAATATTTCATTTCTATAGAATTTGCCTAATGTACAGCTGCGGAAAGAGGTCATTTACTCCATCTTAGAAGTTAAAATGTTATGGTAGAAGAGCACACTTACCTGTTGATGCAACTAAAAGAATTGTGTATGTAATACTTATTTGGGTAGAATAGAAAACAATGGAAGCAAATGATCTGTATATAGATACCAAGTGAAATTACTGAGTATTGCAATAAAACAGGTCCTATGGAGCAGAATAGATGTTAGGGATCCATATACAGACCCTAACTATTTTGGGATGGAGACAATTGCAGTTGATGTTGTAGATGGGTACTTCTGATGTTTAAACTTTAAAGCAAATTTGACCTTGTTTTTCTGACCCACTTACCACACAACAAAATTCCTAAAGCTTCTTGCCAAAATTTCTTGCCTGCTCTAATTACCAAGGAATCATTTGTAGGATGGGATCCAATATGCTGATAATGTCTCATGGTACTTTCTTTTTGTTGCATTTTTATCTGTTTTTTGGCAATAAATGCATTAAGCTATCATATTTGGCTATTACAGGGTACCAAATGCCAAACCTTCGGTCTACTGATATTGAAGTATATGGAATGCAAGGAATCCCAAGTGATTTGTTAGAAGCTCACTATGGAGAGGAAGGTAAGAACAGTGCGTGATGTGCTTAAATTTTACCTCTTTGAATTCATGGATGAGCCATATGGTTGCTGAATTGTAGCAAGAAAATATGTAACCTTTGCTTTTACTTCTTTCTTGTTATACCATTGTACTAGTACTATTGAATTGCTATTCTTGTGGCAAAGAATGTTTCCTCGACATAGAGAGGAGCCTCATTATCCATCAAGTTTTGAACCATGTGTGACTGGTCCTTAGAGATTTCTTTGGCTATCATAGAAGAATATTTTCTTAACTTGGTTTTATAAACTTAAATCAGGGTTTTTGAAAATTTGAAATAATGCTACCGATGTTCCTGGTTTTGCTTCAATTTAGCAAAGCCTAGAGCTTGAATCATCGATCTCATTTTTGTCGGATGTCCTCATGGCTCCGAAGGGAAATCTGGTGCTTGTATATTAATAACTCCATGCTATTGGTTTTAAGTCTCTGATTCATTATGGGCTCTTGTGCATCTCCACCTCTGTAGAACCCTGTAGGATGCTTGTTTTAAAGATTTTCAACCTTGCATCTTGCTAATGGCAATTTCTCAATTCTAGGATTACCAACACTTTCTTCTGAAAGACTTCCTATGTTAGGACTTAGGAATAGTATTACTTGATAAAACAAGCAAAATAATGAATATATGAGATAAGGATTGAATCTCATTAAGGTCAAACAAGCAAAATAATGTAGATATTTTTTAATGTTTTAGATTACTTGTAAAAAGTTAGTGCTGCTGGGGGTTCAAGGTGTAAGTTTTGTAACACTTATGACGGGGAACTACATATTTGGATGTAGTATACCTATTGTGAATATATAGATTAATTATTACCATCCTTAAAAGAAGGATTCGAGCTCATTATTATCGTAATGATCAGAAAATCCCAGTTCCAACTTTGTTATAGTAATGGTTTGGCATAGTGTTCTGGCCTATAGGTAATGCAAAAAATTGTATCCGTAGGATAGTTGGGTTGTTGAGGAATAGGAGCAACAGTCTGGAGATTTCATGTTCGAATCCCTGTTACAACGCTTAGTATGAATCCATATTTTGCAACTCTTGTTGACTCAGGGTTACCGACTCACCGGTATGGTAACACCTACACTTATGGATGTTACTGAACTACTTGGTGGATTAGGCAAGTAGCATGCAACTTGGAAAAGATACTGCCATCATTAAAATAAGAGGATGTTAGGGAAAATTTTAGCCTTTGCATTTAGTTGTTGTCAACCTTCTCGTCTATATTTTGTTGTTTTTTGGGCATGCGTTGAATTTATTAGCAGCTTTAGACTTCTAATCACTAGCTCTAATTGGTGTATAAATTCTTACATGGACCCCGTCTTTTTGGTGTATATATAATCCCGCGTTGCCTATGCCTCCTGTTGGTTGGTCAGTTCCCCGTCACCATCTTTCTTGGTATTCACAATATCCTGTTGTCTTGGTTCCACCTCTTGCACTGATGGTCCAACCACAACCATTTTTTCTTGTGCAAAATATGAGGCCTCCAATGCCAGCCGCTGCTCCACCAACACTTGTTTCTCCTCCCGGGCTCTCCCGGCCCCACCAGTTCCTGTATCTCATCCCTTGTTTCCTGTTGTTCCTAATAACAATCTTGCCCAAAGTTCGCCATTCTCAGCACTAATGTTGTCAGGGAGTGTGCCATTTCAGTTCTGCAGTTGAAACAAACAGCTTATTTGACCCAAACATGGGCATCAATGCTCCTGAGGCCATTGGTTATCAGACTTCAGGCATTCAAGTCTAGAATTGTAATGTCTTTATCTATTTTGTTGAAGGTCTGACACTTAGAACATGGTTCCTGTTGGGAAGTTACTTAACACCATTTACTGTTGTGCCTTAAGATAGGATAATCAGCTCTGTTCTGATCCTTTAGTACGAAGTAGTATTCATTTATTGTTTTTGAAAGTGCTTTGAGGGGAAATGGCTGCAGCCTGCAACCTGCAGATACCTTGAGTTAAAAACATATATATTAGGAATTTGTTTTTTTGGTGGACAATATGGAAGGAGAGAAATTCTTGGTGTTTTAAGAGCATAGAGAGCAGTATGCACCAGATTAAAGCTTAATTGCATCTTGCCACTGAGTTTTTGGTGTAATCAGTTACTTTTAAATGATCCTGTCTCTATCATTGATGTTTTAGACTCATTATAGACACAAGATCATAGAATCATAGATGTAGGTAGTACTTCGTAAATATGGCGCTGCTACAACTCTTGTAAGATTCGGATTCTAACATATATAGAAAAAGTTACTAGTTTCGAAAAAAGAATTTGTATTTTTGCTGTTATAGTAGTACTCTTGATAGGAGGAAGAAGTATGTCTTTTTTTCTTATCAGGGGAAAAGATTTAATATGTTTGGAGTGCAAGGTGCAATTTATGCCCTGTAATCTATTTTGAACCATTTTGGTACTTCTTGCAAATATTTTACGTACGAAAAAAATAGAAATGCAAAGTGTGTTTTAGTTGGCCTTTCTTTCCGAACTATAGAGGTAGTTTTGACATCTTTCAGAGGGAAAATTTATTAGTTGCTTAGATGAGGTGATGGTACAAACTTCATTTGATGTACATGCTAGTATATTTTGGTGAGATATCAGGGAAAAAATGGGCAGCCCATGGTATCAAATTATTTTGTTGGTTTAACCCTGTACAATATTTAGAGGTGATAGTGAGGATAATCTAGGTGTCATCAAACTTCCCTATGAAGCCATGGGCTGTAAAATGAGATAAGAGGGTTCTTAGTTTCATTCTTATTCATAATGATGAAATTTGACGTTGAAGGTGTTGGCTGTGGTCTACAGGCTTCGTAATTTTCCCGAAGCACAGGAAATGGGCACCCTATTTTTTTCCTCGTATAGCATTTTCTGTTAAATGCTATACTATGCAACTAAAGCTATGTGTCCTTACTGTTTTTTTTCTAATTCTTCATTTGATTTCTTGCAGCCATTTCTTGTGAGCTTAATTATTTTGGGTTAGGATCCCTTTTATTTGTAGTGATCTTCAATTTAATTGAAAATTTCATGTGGGTCTTCAAGGATGAGTTATGAATGATATAGTAATGAGACAATTGATACTATTTTTTTTTTGTACAAGTAACATTTGTATAATAAAACTCAGCACTTAGGTAGTGCTAAACCCCTTTACAACAAGTCAAAGTATAGCAATATATCAAAGGACCCCCAATCCTAGCATGATTCTAACACATCTAGGATATTTTCTGCATCTATAGGGGAGTTCCTTGTACACCAAAAACACAAGCAAAATACAATTTGTTTTGATTTTCTCTATTGTTCTACTCTTGTCTTCGAAACACCTAACATTTCTCTCCTTCTAGATGGTCCACCATATACAAGATGGTGTGGTTCTCCAGTAGCTCCTGTTTTTTGCTCCCTTCCCATCTTCTTCCCACCTAGATAGAGTGTCAACAATCTCGCTAGGCATTGTCCATTGTATGCCTCTGAGATTAATGAAAATCTTCCATAGTTGGTTAGTGAGTCTACAATGCAAAAACAAAGTAACCATTGTCTCAGCTGCCTCACCACATAAACAATGTGAGTAATATAATGTTCCTTTTTATGAGTATGTTATAACTCCTATAACTAGGCAGTTTTAGAATTTTATTTAGTACTGTTGTGGAAATGCCTTTATTAGTACTGCTGTGGGGCAACACCAGATATGGGCATCTGATGGAGACATTGATTCGGATTACTTTTTACGCTTGTGATCTTCAAAATAGTCGTATATACTTTTTTTTTTGCTTTGTATAACAATATAATAATTATTGAATTTGCATTTGTTTAATAGTTGAGAGTCCAGTAAGTATTGCGTTTTTATTAATTTTCGTTCATCTCTTTGCTGCTTTTCATTTGTTGAATGTTAATTATTACTTTAATTCATTTTCATGTCAAGTTTTCTTGTATATATTCTGTCTGTTTTTGCTTAGTTTACTTATTTTTCGTCAATGGATTTTAGTGGAATTCATCATTTCACTTCTTAATTGAAGTCAAATTTCTAGTTTTCTAGTGCTCGAATGCAATGGCCACACAATGCTAAGCTTGATGTGTGAAGTATCTTCCACAGAATCTTAAGCACCTCGAAAATGTTTGAATTGAATATCAGTGAGTACATTGGATGGAAAGGCAATCTAATATTTTTGTCAAATGAATTAACCTTAAAATATGTGTTTTCATATAAATTACTTGATCGTGGTTAAATATTATGTATCTTATTATACTCTAGATTATTATTAAAAATAATCCACATGTGTTTTCCATCCACTGCACATCAAATTTGGAAATACAAAACGTTCAACTATGCTAGCGGAATGACATAGTCCTCTAGCTAGAAAATGAATTAATTCTGTAAATAGGACTCGAAGCTTCTGATTAAGAATGAAGGGATACTTATCATTACCATAGCTTTGTTGATGACATGATGTAGTTTCAAATGGCAAAAACTTGTGAAAGTATTAATAGTGAGCTAGATCAAGGGTGTGTTTGGTATAATGTAGTGTTCAGGGAAGCATGAAGCGGAAAAAAACGATAAAGGCCCACTTCACGCTTTAAGCGATGAAGTGCTCGCTTTAAGCGATGAAGCTGTCACATACTCATTCTAGTCTGTGAAGCGTAGAAGGCTCGCATCGCTTTGCTTCATCGCTTTAAGCGATGAAAGCGCTCGCTTTCCTCAACACTAGTATGTATAATGTTTTTCAATTTTCTCATGTTTGGTTGGGTCAAATGTTTTGGAAAATATTTTCTATATAAACTCATTTATCTCAATTTAAGGAAAATGACTGCCCTTCAAAATATAAGGAACACAGGTTCAAAAACTGTTTTCCAACCTCCCCTACCTACCCCACCCTACCAGCCCCCAACCCACCCAACCTCTACCTGCCCCCACCGACCGACCAACCCACTCCTACCAGCCATCCACCCACATTACCAGCCCCCAACCCCAACCCCTACCAGCCCCTCTACCCTTAAAAAGAACTTAAGTTTATTTTAAAAAAAATAATTTTAACTTCAATTCATTTTTTCACCCCTACCCTCGAACCCCCTATCCCAAAAGAATAATTGAAGTTTGTTTTTACAAATATTTTCAACTTCAAAAATTCATTTTTTCACCCCTACCCTCGACCCACCCAGCCCACTCCTTTAAGTTTGTTTTTAAAAAAATATTTTTAATTTCAAAAATTATTTTCTACTCATGTAAAAAATAAAAGATATTTCTCAAAAATATTTTTCATTCAAAAATCAAACATTAAAATATTTTCTATTCACCAACCAAACATGAGAAAATGAGTAAATCTACTTATTTTCGAGGAAAACATTTTTTAGGAAAACATTTTCCGTGGAAAATATTTTCCTTCATACCAAAACACACCCTAATAAAAAACACAAGATCATTGTATAAGGTAAACAAGAAAAGTTTGAGATCAGAATTTGACTATTATTATGCCGTCAATTATTTGGTCCCATTCTCGTCATTTATTAGCTTACCATAAGAAGTTTCAAGTCCTGATAATGAATCAGATTCTATCAAATCAAGTGACAATGGTGTTATGGAGGTCAATGAACTAAAGCGAGAAAAGAAGCTCTCGGATCTCTATTTTTGTTTAGTGAAATGTCTACTAGGCTGTGTCTGGATGCTAATGTTTACAGTTTTCAACTTTTAAATAAATGGATTGTTGACCTAAATCGATATGCTTGTGATAGCTTAAAAGTAAACCACCTAGAATGAGGTAAGAAATGAATCAACTGAAGATTTGTTATTGCTTTTGAAAGAGTGATAGCAGCTTTGTGCATCCTGCTCCTTGTTGAAAAGCAATATCCCAGTACACGCTTTGCTAGAAGTAGGAGATGAGGATGTGGAAGATGAAGATGATGGTTTATATGATGATGAGAATCTGGATGTAACGAATAACAAATTTTTGAGGTGGAAGAGATTTTTAATGTTTGTTATGGAGGACTAGTGAAAATAAAGAAGTCAATGATTTACTTAAGGTACGTTGGAAGGATTATGACCCCGATGAAATCAGTTAAGACGATGAAAAACTTTAGATTAATTGCCTCCAAAAAATAAAAGATTTTGTAACCAAGAGTTTCAAAGCAACTATTTTGCGATTAACTTGGAAGTAGACGTCATATGTGAGGAATCTCCTTGCCAGGGCATAAGTGAATTTAATCGTTTTAGAAACATAGCAAATTCATTATAAGATTCAAAAAATAAATAACTTGAAGTATTGATGAGCTAACTTTTGGAGATGTGTCATATCTTTACGTAGAATCATAGCCAAACCCATTCTAGTTTGTTGTTCACCAATGTTGGGGCCCATGAGGAAGCGATGTATTTCAAACAAAATTAACATCGTTTGTGGCATTAAAAGATTCGACTAAAATCGTTGATAAAGCATCGATTTTGTCAACAATTATTTTTTTCTTTTGAATAAATTTGAAATCGCTGCATGGGTAATGTTTTCATAAAACTGAAATTGCTGCATGCGTAACGATTCGGTTCAACATAATCTGATCCTTCTAAATGGGGGCTCAACATTGGTGAAATACAAATTGGGATGAGTCTGGCTCTAATCCTATGTAAGATATGACACATGAGTCTAACTCAACTTCAAAAGCTAACTCATGAATACTTCAAGTTATTTATTTTTTGATTCTTTGCAATGGATTTGCTAAGTTCTTAAAACGAATAAATTCATTATGCCCTGCCTTGGCAAGGAGGGTCTTCGCATATGTTGTTTGCTTCCAAAGCTAAACAGTTGTTTTGAAGCCCTTGGTTACAAAAAATTTTATTTTACGGAGGTAATAATCTAAGTCTTTTATCGTCCTAAGTGACTTCAATTCGGGCCATAACCATTCCAACATACCTTAAAGTAAATGATTGACTTCTTTATTTCCACTAGGCCTCCATAGAGAACTTTTAAAATATCTTCTACCTGAAAAATTTGTCATTCATTACCGCCAAATCTCCATCATCATATGTACCAGCATCTCATCTTCCACATCCTTATCTCCTACTTTTAGCAAAGGGTGTGTTGGGTATTGCTTTTCAATAAAGAGCAGGATGCACAAAACTGCTCGCACTCCTTCAAATGCAATAACAAATTTTCAGCTGATTCACTCCTTACCTCAGTTTCGTGTGATTCACTTTTAAGCTGTCTCAAGCATATCGATTTAGGTCAACAATCCATTTAGTTAAAAGTTGAACACCGTAAACATCAGCATCCAGACACAACCCAGTAGACATTTCACTAAACCAGAATAGAGATCCAAGAGCTTCTTTTCTCCCTTCAGTTCATTGACATCCATAACATCATTGTCACTTGATATGATAGAATTTGATTCATTATCAGGACTTGAAACATCTTATGGTAAGCTAATAAATGACAAGAATGAGACTAAATACTTGATGTCATAGTAATAGTGATATTTGATCTGAAACTTTTCTTGAACTGCTTACATTTGAGGGTATTGAAATAATCTTGTTTTTCTTTACAAGGCAATAAGGGTTGTCAGCCTTAATTTCTGATAAGAGTGCACACTTGTTGTCGATAAATTGGTCATGATCTTTAATCACAATATCCTTGGCTCTTGACTCTATAAAATCATTGAGCAGTAAAATACTTCATATCATCGACACCATGGAAAAACTCAAAAATATTGCATATATAATCATCTGCAGCCTTTACATGAGCATCATTCCCAAGTTAAAAACTGCTTTAAAATTATTTTTAATATATGTGAAACGATCAACTAAATTTTTGTTGAACAATTATAATACTTGATCTTATTAATTTTCAAGTGTATCACAATTGCTTTCTTTATGATTAAAAAAAAAGAACATCACTTCTATCATCTTTTCAAATCCCCGCCACCACATATTAAAAACAGCCACAGAGAGGGGCATGTGAGTAAGTTTTTTGTGGTTTGAATGGTTTGAGACCACGGATCAACTTCAGGATCAATGGAGGACTATAAAGACACATAGGTTCCCTTGGTTAACAAATTCAATAAAGGCTCAAATAATTGTGCTTCCGCTGCATTACTAAATTGATAACCGCAAAGTAAAGAAAGAGTTGAGGATTTCATTTCCCAAAGGTGAAGAGCAATAGAAAGTATAAGAATAGTTTCCCTGACTTGGTGGGTTAGAACACTATCCAAAATTAGAAACCTTGAGGTCAATCGAAGCATCCAATATTAAATTTTCAGGCTGCACGAGAAAAAGAGAGTTTAATTTCTATGGACTAACATTGTGTAACTCTTTTACATCATCATTGTCACGTATATAAGTTAAAATCCGCCAAAAAGAGGTAGGATATTAGTTAGTTTGTAGGTGTAGCTTCCTAGAATGATTTACTAAATTCAGTGAGTTGTTTCAAGGGATCAAAACAGTGAGTTATTATTGGAATTCCTTCACCACTCTTAGGTTCCGTTACTTCAGTTTGTTTTGTAACTCTTTTTCTGTTATGGTTACTCAAAGAAAATTTAGGACTAATATGTTAACCTTCCCTTTTGTTTCCATTGTTCCGGAAGCCTCAAGTTTGTTGAACTGAATTTTCATAGATTGCCAGATTCTAGACTACAATATGTGTTCTTGAATTGTAATTGATTATAAATTCTTTAAAATTACCTCACGGTTTTTGTCGATTGTTTGTACAGAGGGAGTTTCCCACAGGAGAACCCTTCTGGATTAGCCTCAATGCCTTTGTATAAGTCCTTCAAATGACTCTGTTATTGGTATTAGTATTGATATTTATTGATTTCGAGTCAATCATACGTGCGCCGTTCGTTTTTAGTTTATCTTTCATCCCCTCTTTGACCCTTCATTTTAGATTATTCATCCGTTTACTTTGATTTGCAGAAACGAACATCCCTTGCATTCACAACAACCTTCATCTGCGAGCAAAGTAATGTTCATCATCTGCTGAAGCTTCAATTCTGGACAAGGTAACAACTGGTGATTTTTCTGAAACATTCTTATTCTCATTCTTCCGCTGACATCTTTTCTTCTCTTAGTTTGTGAGTTTTCAAATGGTGCTTAGTTATAAGTTGTAGGTTGTTACGTTATATTGATGATTAATTGACTATTACCTTTCATTTTTCTACTTCCTCTAATGACTGTTCGGGCCAAGTAAACCATCAAGAGTACTGATTTGTCTCTGGTGTAAGCAATCTTGAATTTACCCAACTTCGATTGAAAATTTTAATGTGAGAGTTCGCAATTTTTGTTCTTAGTTTTTTTTTCATCTTTATAATGTAATCGTTACTATATTTATGGTTGTCTTGTAATTATGATATACTTTTACAAATTGGGGTATTGTGGTTCTTGGTTTTGCTTCTATATTGTTTTTACATGAATAAATATTTAAAAAAAGTTTTAGCCCTAAACTTTGTCATATAGGCACTAAAAACCTATTTCATAAGTTCGCTCACAATAATTATAGTAATGAGTTCGTTTAACATTTATCATTCTCAAATAAAGTTGAAGATGGATACATGAAATAGTTGATTCTACTACTAACCTTTTTTTATAATGCTTGTAGCAATTTCATGTTTAATGATACTTGACTTTCAGGATGAGTTGTTCACCTTTCAATTATTGGTCCATGATCATTAGCAATTGTTCCTCTTTACCTCTTCTTTATCAATTTATGTGTTCCTCCGTTCTGATTCTTTTATAGATATGGGTTACGTTGTCTACCTTTTCGATTGAGTTTATTGACGCTTTATCTTTTAAATCTTTTTCCTACTCATTTTTAATTTCCCATGTTAATGTGGGGTTGCCTGCTGATCTAATGAATCATATATGAGGTTGTGAAGTTATAGACATTTTTCGAGTACATGTTGAAGAACATGGTTCCAAACTTTTTTTGCTTGGCCTTTTTTCAATTTGTGTCATTCAAAATTCTGATTTATGTTAGTAGCGGTCTTCATGTAATATGTTCTGTTTGGATAGAGTCGGGGCCGCTGTCTAATATATATTCTTAGACCTTAAATTATTATATATTGTGTGTATTATGTTTAATTATAATTGTGTACTTCCTTTCCTATTGTTATTTATTCCCTCTCATTTGTTTGTTTATAGATATGTACTTTCTTTTCTCCTATTTATTCCTGTAATTGTTTTTCCAGAAGATTAAGCTTCCACCTTTGGTCGTAGCACTATGTTTTGAAAAGCTAGGTTGAAGAAAGATGCCCAACACTTCAAAAAGGTACATGACACATCGAGTGCCACACTATTGCTGTTACAGTGTTGCTACTATACCCTACTTCCATTGCTAAGACGTTTTCTCCTATTCCAACAGGAAATTTAACATGTATTTTGTCATCACACATACAAAGTTGTAACAGTAACTAAGAATACCAAGATGACAGCCACTAATAGTGCTGGCAATTTAAGTTCATTTTTTACTGACCCGTCCAAATAGCCCATCAAATATGTGTTCAAAAAGTGAATGAAAAATTACCTATGTAGACATCTTTTTCCATAATTTCCATTAATTCTTGCCATTTTAAAAAAATTTCAAAATCCCTTATTTCCTCCTAAAACTAATCAGGCGGATACATAACTCATAACTCCAAAAATCAAAATTTATCACTTCCTCATTTCATTCCATAAATCACTCTCCATTTTCTTGTCAGTTAATTTCTCAATTACTTTTGAAATTCAAAATCAAGTCTTTATCTAGTCAAAACTAATTCAACATGAAATAGGTAACTTGTTTATCTGTTCAAATTTGTTTGTCCTTCATTTTTTATTTTTTTTCTTTCTTCTTCGAAACATTGAAAATGCACCATCTTTTAGTCTTGCTTTTACACAATTAAACTCAAATAACACTCGTGTTTTTTTAATTCGAAGATATTGTTTGGGTTGTAAACAAATCAAAAAACTGCACGACTCATCAATAGCGAAAGTAAACATTGAGAAGTTGGAGATAGAGCATATAATATCAAATTTGCCATGAGACGAAAAACACTTTTATTATGTGTGAACAACAAAGGGGGGCGATAGGAGATGGACATATCAAAAGGTTCATTCATAGTCGAAGATTGATAACTTTTCTATTCAAGAAATTCTCAAAAATGGTGAGGTGTGAGTTTGTCGAAACTACAGAAAGTTCATCAATACTAAATAAAACTTGTATATCATATGGTGTTTTTTTAGAAAAAAAAACTATCAATTTTTATACTTGTTTTGTTGGTAAATCATGAATGACCCACAAACGACAAATTCATGTTTCATATTGTGATGTATCAGTATTTAAGTGCAATCTATTAGTATGTTGATTTTGTTCTATTGATTGTTGAATGTGTTTCAGTTAGCTAATCAAATAATGATCCATTAATGAAAATATAATGTGTCATATTATAATGTATCAATATTTAAGTATAATTAGTTGATACACTAAATCCTAATTTTGTTTATTATTTTGTGGAGTTGTAATTTTCTGAAATTGTTGATATAAAATAATGTTTAATAGTGTATCATTCAAAACATGTATTTTTCAGTATGTATCAGATACAAAAATTTATGAATAATGTATCTGATACAAACATAAGATAAATGATAAGTTACTAATTTAACTGTACTTCTTTGTTTATATCATGTTTAATGGGATGAACAATTTTTGAGTCATGATCAACTGGAGGACATCTTTGTATCATGTGTGGAGTTGTTGTAGTTATGGTAAATTATTGATACAAAAATTCAACATTCGAGTTGATTATCTTTGCACAAGATATGAAACAATATTATAGAGATACATACTGAAAAGGCAAAGTCAGACTATGTTAGCGATATAGATGATACTCTAAGGCTTAAAGGACGCTTCATTCTACGGCATCAAGATGATTTAATTCTTGTCGAATAGCTATTATGTACCAATGAATAGACACCCTTCGATGTTTTGTGTCTTTTTTAAAGACAATTTTACTTAGGGTTTAGAGTGTTACTCTAAAAACTGTTTCATGTCATTTTTTGAACTTGAATTAGAATTTTTTTGTTATTGATTATATTATATAAATTTTTTATATTTTGTGTTTTAATGATAATGTTAATACATAACATATGACATGATACTTAAATCTTTCAGATTATTCATTTGAAGTTCAGAACAATAAGTATCAGATTCATAACTAAGTTTAATCATTTGTATATAAAGAAAAATGGTGCTTGTTTGATACATTACGTGCATATGGTGTTTCCCACCTGTTGAACAAGCACTAAGCACGAAAAAAATAAAAATTATCAACTAAACTTGATAATACATTAGGAGAAGAAATATCCTACTATCGTATAAAATTCCTCCAACGTGGAACAATAACTTTGAAAATTCAAATTCAAAGTGTTAATAAGTTGATAAAAAAGACATCATTGTTATCTTTTTGTGATTATTTTAGGAAACCTTTGACACAACTAATTATTCATAATAAACTTAGTCTATCATAAAACATACAAAGATAGTCTCTTATTCTCAACAACAATTGCAAAGGAGCTCAATATTCTTGAGTTTCTCAAATTGAATATTGGTCAATTCCATTTGTTAATTATGTTTTTGGAGATTTAATTTGTTGGTGTTCTCGAGAGATTAAACATCAATATTGAAGCTAAATTTGCAAACATTTGGTCATTTTATGGTTGACTATTCTTGGGAATGCCTATAAAATAAGAGTTGTTAATAAATGATCAAAATTTTAATTTTCAAAAGGTCAATTCCTTGTTACGCTAAAGTTTTTAAACTCTTCAACCAAATATCAAATTGAAGAATCATACTTTAGGATTAAAAAAATTATATCTAAATCGCAAAATTTGAACTAAAAGAATCGAATCTATTCAATTCAGTTGGACTTTTCAATATTTATATTCACCTCTAACACGAATCTAATTTAGAGACAAACATAAAAGATAATGCCTCCATCTCTATTTACTTGTTAAATATTTGTCATCTTTGACAAATCAAGGAATGACAATTTTTTTTCAATTATACCCTCAATTTATCAATATTGAGTTAATGTATTTGATAAATATAATAAGTAAATATATTTGGTCCCTATCAATTAATAAGAATAAAATAATAAACTCATCGTATAAGCTTAAAAAAATACTCCATATAAGTAGGCGGAGTAGCGATGATATTTGCCAATAAAATACTTAAGTCTACCTATAAACTTTTATTATTAGGAATCGACTCCCTCCGTACCTTGTTTTTCTCATAAATCCTAAGGGGGTGTTTGGTAGGCCGTCCATGTAGTATGTATGATATTATTTAGTACTATGTTTGGTGAGAATTTCAGCCTATGTATAATTAATTCATGGATTAGTTATACATCGTACATGGTATTATATGATGTAGGCTTAAGTCATTTTAAAGTTATCCGCATAACTCACTTAGACACCTCAACTAAGACCTTTACCTATTAACTTTAATATTTACAAATATTTGTTTATTGTACATCAAATCACAATTAGCTTTAAAAATATTGTGCGCGTAATTTAAACACATTATATTGACAAAATCACGAATAAAATTTTTACGACATGTGGCACATGGGCCCAAAATTTTAATTTTGAAAACAAATATTTTTCACCCTTTGATAAGCTAGAAAATTAAATTGATAAAAATAATAAAAAAGAAAATTTCTCTCCCCCACCCCACCTCATCAAACCTATTACCCTTTCTTCTTCATCTTCTTTCCTGTGATTTCCGTCACCACTATTCAACTATCGATTCCTCTGGCAATAACAAAAAAAGAAAGTATTTACCTTACCCCATTTAGAATACACCCACTTAAACCTTTCTTCTTTCCTTTTCTTCTCCTGTTAATTCTTATATTCCATTCCTAAGGTGATTATTGAGATTTTTGTTATAAAATAATTTACGTCGATAAATTATTTCAATATCGACAACGAAGAGAAATCAGAAGTATATCAAAAAAATTTATATTATTTTCAATAAGTTTAAGGAATGGTGATGATTGCTCCATCGAAGTTATGAAAATAGAGATACATAAATGTCGATGACTCCAGTGGTCGATTTTTTCTCTCTTCTTGCAAGTTCGATTGTTTGTCTATGACAAAAAAACGTAAAGAAAGAAAAAGGAACAACCAAAACAAAAGGCGGAGAAATTTTAAGTCTTTAAAATTGGGGGTTGAAGAAGAAAAGGACTGGTACATGGGTGTGAAGTGGGGTTATTTTATCAAAAGATTAATGTAATTAAATTAATTTTTTCATTTATTTAGTTAATGCATGCCAAGTGTCAAGAAAATGTAACGACCTGTTTAGTCGTTTTGAGCAGCAGATTTTATTTCTGGAAAAACAGGCTGAGACGACGGAACCCACGACGGAACGTCATGGGCACGACGGACCGTCGAGGGTGTCTCGTCCCAAAACACTTAGAAAATCTGAAATTGGGTACGGAAAATCGACTCTTTGAACTTCGTGACGGAATGGTAGGACGGGCCGTCACAGGTGTGACGGACCGTCACAGACCCTTCAGAGAAATTGGGTCTCTGAACTCTGTGACGGGCAGCAGGACGGACCGTCGCAGGCGCGACGGGCCGTCACAGACTGCGAAATCCCAGTCCGGGTCGGATTTCTTTATACGTTTTAAGGGACGTTTTTGACTATTCTTGCCTTAATTATAAAGTTAGTGGGTTAATGTTAATAAGTCTAATTACTTGGGGTTAAAAGAGGTAACCTTAAGTTAATTAGGGGGTTATTATTGCCATCTTTTATACTTAATTATATATTAATTAGGGTGAAAGAAAGAGGGCTGGAATAAGAAAAATAAGAAAGGACAAAGAGAGACAGAAAAAGAAAGAGAACGAGTAGAGAGAGAGAGAAATGAAGGGGATAGCAAGGATTTTGAGAAGATAGCTTGTTGATCGCAATTCTTCGGTGAAGGTAGGTTATGGTTTTCATGCTATTCGTAGTAAACTCTTAATAGCGAATGATATGTGTTAGTAGTATTGTAAACCTTCTATATGCTTAATTGTATGCTTGCATGAATGATGTGATTATGTAATTGTGAATAAATAAGCATGATGAAGCTATTGAATCCCAAATCTTGAAAAGAAACCCTAATCTACTTTGTTAATGATGATGCCTTGGTATAAAAGAAGGCTTGATGAACGAAAGTGGTGAGATTAGGGGATCGGGCGCCACGTTCCGGTACCAGGATAGTATATGAGGATCGGAGTGTCACGTTCCGACACCAGGATAGTATATGGATCGGGTGCCACGTTCCGGTACCAGGATAGTATATGAGGATCGGAGTGTCACGTTCCGACACCAGGATAGTATATTGAGGAGCAGAGTGTCACATACCGACACGAGGGGAATAAAGATAATGAGTCTTGAAAGATGATAATATATTCAAATCTAATGAACCTAATTCCCAAATGAGTATGATGAGGAGGCGTGAGTCCTCATTGATATGCTTGGTGTTGTAACCAAGGGTTATGGTAACTGTAAAT